GTCCGTCTCTGACTCGAGGAGGGCGGACGCCTAGTGGCGTACCGGCAGTTGGAACGCCTGGCCAAGGCAATTGGAGATCCTGAACCACTCTTTGGCACAGGTTGGGGCCTGGTAAGCGAATATATATATATATATATTGCCATATATATATATATATTGCCAAGCTCGGCGAACAACTGAACATCATATTATACCACCCGAGCTACAAAAACAACAATCAACATGGTTGTTTACCAAACTGTCATATATATATTCTCAACATCACCCGTCATCGGATGTCAAAACAAGGATAAGTTGCCTATGTTGACCTCGTCAATGCTCATCTACCACCTGTGGTGCCACTTATGTAGGTCATACGACAAGGCAGCTATCTAAGCGCATCAAGGAACATCAACCCGCTTGGCTTAGACACGGACGAATCGGAGTTATTTCCAGTTCCATTGTTGCACACTTGGTCGAAACTGGACATAGGGTGGATACTAATTCGGCTTTTACCATCATTTATCGCGTCCCACAACACAAATCCGAGGCTGTTCGAATTAAAACGCTGGCAACAGCCGAGGCAATTATCATCCGCTTGTTGAAGCCAGAATTGCGTGCTCAAAAAACACTTGGTCAGGCACTTAAACTCCCCTGGCCCAAAGCGGACAACATCACGCATGAGCGTTGCGATGACCCAAATCAATTATCAACGCTTACGTAACCCGTTCTTATCTGAACATGAGAACGAGTGACAAATGTATCCCTACCCCACCCCTTTTGCTGATTATTTGACCTCGACTGTTTGACCCCAACATAACGCTTTCCCGTTACTTTCTCACATAAATGTGATTGTACTGGCTTGATAAGGAACTCACCGAAAACATATGTTCGCCTACAACCTGTGTTCAGATGTATATATATAGTTCTTGAGCTGCTAACTATCCGGACGAACGTGCACCCAATTGGCATCTTGTCCACATCTTCAAAACTCATCACTCGAAGGTCTTCTACNGCCGGGAAGAGGCCAAGCGAACCGAGGAAAACACGAAGAACTGGATATACAAACAAATTGAGCTACGCAGAGTTCAGTGCAATCTGAACTGAACTGAGGACATCTATTCGCGTGGTGGTGTTAATATCAATGTATTACAAGTTCGATGCAATTTACGCCTGTAAATTTCGGTGAACAGTTGAATCATATTACACCACTGGGTTTGAATTAAATTAAAGTAGGGTCAAAAGATCGATCCACCGATTATGAACACATAACTCAAACGTTTGAAGACTTCGAGTCTGACAAGACGCTCAGAAACCGCCGCATCACGCTCCAACGCGCGGACAGAAGGCTCTA